TTATACGGACCCGGACTTGGGGGTTTTGGTTACTTCAGCCTTGGTTCCATCCCCGCCCCCTCGTTCTTCCCCTGCTGTGGTCCATTCAGCCTCCCCCCCCCCCCCCCTACTTCCTGCTCCTATGCGTCTGAGGGTTTCGGGGTCGGGGCAGGGTTTAGAGGTTTGAGACTCGAGCAGTTTTGGGGGTTGCTCCTTTTGGGGTGGCTGCGGAGGCATTCAAGTTCGTTCCCCCAGCCGTAGCTCCAGGGTCTGACCAGCGGGCCCATTCTCTTCCTGCTTTTTCGGCCGCCCCCACTTTTTCTTGTATGGCCGGGGCTTGGGAGAACGACTCGCCTCGGGGCCTGACTTGGAGGTTCCCGGGGTTGGGGAGGGGCTGGCTTTGGGGCCTTGGGCCCCGTTGGACCCTGCCTGGGTTTGAGTCAGGCCTGGGTCCTGGGTTGGACCAACCCTCTAGGCAGGGCTTTCGGTTACAAGGAGTGGGGTTTTCCTTTTCCCCCTCTGCGTATGAGTTAGGCGACGGCTCGTTCCCCCGGTTCGGTTCTGTGTCCCTTGGGTCCGTCGGTTCTATCCTTCCTGTGGGTGATTTTACCACTATCTCACCCTTCTTTTCTAGGACATGTATTCTACTATGTCATGTCAACTTATTATCTTCGTCTTGGGATCCTACATGGCCGTTGGTCGTGAATGCTATTGGGCTCCTGTGAGCCTCTGCGTTTTAGCACTTGCTTCTCAAGGGTTTCGAAGGTTCAGGAAGATCTTCATTTCTTCCAATATTGTTGGAACGTCTGTCATCTGCCTTTGAGGCTTACCTCCAGTACTTTCTTGGGTTCGTTGGTCTTCTTCCATCCTGCATATTGTTTTTCGATATTATCTCATTCTTTTCTCATTACGTCTTCTTACATGTGTCTCAACATTATTAATATTTTTTTAGTACACCTTGTAGGCACCCTCCTCGCAGGTTGGGTGTTCCAGCTCGGTCCTCAGATGCATGCACCGTGGGTGTTTGTTTTGGTTACTGTGCGGTGTAAACATGTGTTGGCTTTCCGCGTCCTTTTTCGCGGGTTCTACGCCACTCTCGCTCGTCTTCTTTCCAGTCATGGCCCCTTGGATACTGGGGACATTCTGGATTTTATATATGGGGAGGCCATTTAGTTCTTTCTCTGCTTTACGAGTGTGGGGTGGCTCGGAGTGGCTCCGCCTCCACCTTTATTCTATACCTCATCTTCTCCGGTTCAAGCATCTCTGGACATGATCCTCTAGTGTTGTTCCCGGAATGTTACTTGGCTCTGCTGTTGTGACTCGATAGTGTCTACGCTTTACAGGGGAGAGTATACGGTCTAGTGACACTGTCAGCCAGGCGCTGATTCTCAGTTTTTGGATGAGTGTTGTCTGTAGCAAGTTGATTGACCATTTTGCATGCATCTTAACGTGGCCTTCCTATGTGTTTCTCTACATGCTCCTCTGCCCCAGGTTAATGCCTGATTGTGGGAAAGGGTTCCATGGAACATCATTTGGACACTCCTTCCTTGACTGTTTTCTTGATGCTCATTCCTTGCCTCCGTCATGGTTCTCTGGACACTCATTCCTTGACTCAGTCCTTGCTTCTGGTCACTCCTTCCTTGGTCATCGTTCAGTGCTTGGCTGCACTCTGTATACATTGGAGTGTCTATATATTTATTTGCTCGTGTACTTTCCGTTTTCATTTTGTTTCCTACCTCTATACTACACATTGTCGTGTCTCTTTGTATATGCTTATTGGCTGTACTATTGGTGGTGCTAAGTTGGACTGTGTACATGTTCAGTTCCCTGTACGTGGACAGCCCCACTGTTCAGTTGTAGAACTTGGGTTCTTTTATCTTCTTGTATGTCCCCCACCAGCTTCTGTGTTGCAATGTTTGCTGGTGGCTGTAGTCACTCATTCACCTGCTCCTGCCCCTTTTTTGTTGGGACAGGGTGAGCTAGGCTTACACCCCTGGCTACGGCCTTTTCCTTGTGTTCCTTTGCAGGACAGTACATTTTGCCTTAGTGTCCTCACCTAGTTGTGCTTGCAGGGGTTGAGCTCTGGCTCTTTGGTCCCGCCTCTCAACTGTCAATCAATTGGTATACAGATTCCTGGGCCTATTTGGCTCTATCATATGTACATTTGAACGTATGTATGGGGTCCACCTCCACCACATCACTGCCTAATGCATTCTGCTGAAAACGTGAGGTGCATATCACGCAGCCTGTTCTTGTGACTCATGCCTCAAAGTTCTGGGAATAGCCTAGTGGCTTACCTCGGTACTTTTCAAGCTTCGCCTTGTGCTTGACGAGGTACGGGCTCAATGCTGGGGCTGCATACTCCAGGATTGATCTTACATATGTAGTATACGAAGTTCTGAATGATTCCTTACACAGGTTCCTGAGGGAAGTTCTGATGTTAGTCTACCCGGGGCGTGTAGTGCGGTACACGTCCAGGGTAATTACCCTTCTCTGGTACTCTGCTTCGCGTGCGTCATTCTGCCCTGCTGGTGCTGTTTGCACTGCTCCTGCAGGTTGTGGTGTAGCTGTTCTTCGCTTCGCGTTTCGCGTGTTGGCTCGTAGTGCTCGCTTCTTCTTTGGCCTCTGCCTGGGCCCCTGGCTCTTTGGTTTTCATCGCCAAATTTGTCCTTGCTGTTTGCAGAGTCTACGGGTCGGCTCTTTCGACAAGCGACTTCTTCTCATTCTCATCTGTTCTTGGCCTTGTTGGCCCCTTCAGAGTCCCAGGGGGGGGGGGGGGAGGGGTTTCCTCCCGGACTGGGTGTATCTGCCTGCCCGGGTTGCTTTTTGCTTGGCTTGCCAGGTTTGGGTTCCTGGTTCCCTGGCGGACGTTCCTTCTGGTTCTTTGCCAGCCTTCTTGAGGTTATCTTGAGATGATCTTCTTGGACAGATGTAATAGGACCCATTATCACCACACCAGAAATAAATATCTCTTTGATATCCCCAGAGTTAAACTTAATCTGTGTAAACACTCTATGCAAATAAAGGGACCCAGTTTATGGAACTCACTCCCTACTGAATTGAAAAGCTGTCCAACTTTTACATCATTCAAAATCAATACTAAAAAGTACCTAATTTCATCTTCATAGTTTTTCACTTTTTGCCTTAAAATTGCACTGTATCAATTGCTACCCAATCTCCCAACCTTTTATGTTCCCAATTTGAACATCTTTACCAGTGTGATCATTGCTGTCTTCTTATATGTGCTGCCAATCTGTTGTATGGTGTTTATAAATCTTGTTTATCTGTATCTTTTGCTACCCAGTCTCCCAATCTTTATGTACCCAATCTGAACATCTTTACCATTGTGATCATTGCTGTCTTATATGTGCTGTCAATCTGCTGTATGGTGTCTATTAACCTTGTTTAAATTACTAATCAAGCTGTCAATGTAATCAATCAGAGCTTTAATATAACAATATGCTTTAATATACCTACTTATCTCTCTCATCTCATTTTTCTCTTGTAATGTATCTTTATCATTTATCAATTCTGATTGAAATTACCTACTTAAAATTATCTGCTAGATTAAGGACCTGCCCGAAACGCTGTGCATACTAGTGGCTTTACAAGAATGTAAATACTGTACTATCCAATGTATTCTCACAAACCCAATGTACCTTCTTGTATATATAAAAATAAAAATAAAAATAAAAATAAATGATTTCGGGGCTTTAGTGTCCCCGCAGCCCGGTCCTCGACAAGGCCTCCACCCCCAGGAAGCAGCCTGTGACAGCTGACTAACACCCAGGTACCTATTTTACTGCTAGGTAACAGGGGCATAGGGTGAACGAAACTCTGCCCATTGTTTCTCGCCGGCGCCCGGGATTGAACCCGGGACCACAGGATCACAAGTCCAGCGTGCTGTCCGCTCGGCCAACCGGCTCGACCTTGGTTTCAGTCGCTGCTTAATTGCTCGGTGTCTGGTTCCAGGGTTTTTTCCCCCAGCTCCACCTCTTCTCATGATTGGTTTAGGTCATCTGCAGGGTTCTTATGTCTAGCCGGCCTGTGGTTTCTCCTCGTGCCCTTGTCATTCGTAAGTTTGCTGCTCTTTCTGCCGTCATTGGTTACACGTCCTGGGTTTGACATATAAGCAGGGGGGTTTTGGCGGTCAAACAAGGTCCTGGCTGCACGCTACCTTGCTGCCGTTCCTGGGCCTAGTCGGGCCTGTATAGCTTGGGTCTCGACTTCAAGTTGAGGTGTGGAGCACTGACCGCCTCTCGGGTACATCCCCTTCTTTATTTTGTCTTTGGTGAAGTGGCTCCAGGGAGCTGTAGGGGCTCCCCTTCCCCTCCCCAGAAAACCAGCGTTGAATGTAATGAAACGGCATTTTATGGGTGAGTCCCAGAGGCTCCCCAGCAACCCTCCCTTCTTCCGGTCGGCGTTTTTTTCGCTTATTTTGATATCCATCCTCGGATCTGATGGTGTGGATTGCCAGCGTGGGGATCTGGGGCTCCCCCTTCCCCCTCACGGGTAGGGGGGAGCTGCGCAGACATGCGCCGAAACTCCTGTAACATCATGCTTGTTTGCTCGTTTTCAATTGGGGAGTTCTGTCTACTCATTTGTCTATTTTTGTTGTTTTTAACCAGAATAGGGGTTTGTTTTGTGGCCCTTACCTTTCTGGGTGCCTGTCCCAGTCAATGGCAGATATAGAAGCTGCAAAATCACATGTGCAAATCACATTACATTCCACTCTGTTTTTTTTTTTCTATTTTGCTTCTGTGGGTGTTGAAAGTCAAATTGCCCAGAACAGCTTAGGGATTAAAATATGTTGTACTAAGAAGTATTTTCATTTAATATTACATATAAAACTTATTTATGACAGTGAAATAATTAAGATATGCTGTCTTGGCCCATAAGCTAGGAAAATATATACCAATTTGTTTCACAGGAATAAAGTTACTCTTGTCTTGGCGCCTAAGCTGGGAAAATATATACCAATTTGTTTCACAGGAATAAAGTTACTATTGTTTTTCTTTCAGGTGAGAGCTCATCATGTCATTCATGGCTTCACAAAACTGCCGAAGGTTGAACATTCTGGAATTCCTATGCCATCTGATCTTATCCCATACGTCAGTAATATACTCGGTAATAGAGGAGGACGACCACTTCACAAAAAAAGAGGACATATGTGTCTTCAAAATTCTGCATCACAGCTACAACAATCTCAGAGCCAATGGAAAAAATCAGAAACAGTTTCTACAGAAGAATTTACTGCAATATACTTAGCTCAAGAAATTTCTCAGCAGGAATTAGTGTAGTACCTCGCACTCAAGAAAGTGAACTAGAGTCAAATAATATGGAAAATTGCAAATTACCATATCCCTTAGTCCAGAATATTTAACACCTAAAGCTGCTCATTCTATGCAGGTTCTTGAGTTTTGCCAAGATGCTAATTTTATAAGTGTATTGCCTTCTCGGAAAGATCTCTGTATAGCATCAGATGCACAATCTAATTTTGGTTCTCATTCAGTTAGCGTTGGTGCATGTAATTTAATGATTACAATGCTATGGTCTTCCTAAGACTCATAAACCTGGTGTTCCTCTTCGTCCTATCATTTCTTCACGGGGCTCTGTCAGCTATCCTCTTGCCTCCTGGCTCGCTAAAACCCTGACACCTTACCTTGGCACTTTCTCCCCTGCCCACCTTCGTCACTCTCAGGACTTCATAGAAAGACTGCGCCTGCAACCCTCTTGTAAAATGCTTAGTCTTGATGTCGACTCTCTGTTCACTAATGTTCCGCTCGATGACGTTCTCTCTTTCCTTAGACAGAAGGCGTCAGAGGGTCTCCTTCCTCTCCCACTTCCCACTGACGTTTTCCTCGATCTCATTAGACTCTGTGTTGAATCTAACTCTTTCTCTTTCAACGGTAGATATTACACTCAAACTTTCGGTGTCGCTATGGGTTCCCCTCTCTCCCCTGTTCTTGCTAATTTCTACATGGAATACTTCGAAACTGTTCTTCTTCCTTCTATTGATACTCGTCCCTCTCTCTGGCTTCGCTATGTTGAAACATTTATATACATTATGGTAAGGATTTACAGACTTGAAAGTAAAAAATATTAATAGTTATGAGTCAGGGTGGCCAGGGCCAATACACCTGATAAAAACACCTTAATGCATGTGTCTGACATCAGTTGATTTGGTTTAATGTGAATAAAGTACTTTAAATGTGCCAGGTTGTCTACAGTATTAACCACTGTGATGCACCGAGTTGAGTTTATTGTGATATTCCCCCTGTGTGCGGGAAATCAATTGTTGCAAAAAAAAATTTTGTTTGTAAAATGATAAATTCCTTTCCCTGATCATGTCCATGGAAAAATAAATACCAAATTCCACTTACTTTGACTGTGGGGACGTGGACAAGGTGCGCTGTGACGTCATCAGGAGCTGGTCGCCCGTGTATAAAGCTCCCAGACACGGATCCCACAGACCATTCAAGCACCGGGAGTTGTCACAAACATATTTAAAATTATTTGTTCTATTTATTTCCAATGCGGTTTTATTTGTTTTTTTTATCGTATATGATGCATATTTGTGTCCTTTACAATATGTATATAGTAGAAAGTTCATAATATTCCATGGAACTGTGATACGTGTGTCAGTAATGTGTCCACAATAAATGTTTGTTGTCGCAATATTACTTGCTAAAAATTTACTAAAATTACAATATGTACAGTTTCACACACAATTTACACAGTAACACACTGTATTACACATTCAGTACTTCAGAAGTGAGTAATAATCAACAAAGTAGTCCATGGTACATAGCACGACTTCGCTCACGTTGCACCAGGTACAGGTAGATATTCACTTCCTGGTTCTTCGTTCTGTGTGCTTGCAAATAACGCACTCACGTACATCCTTGGCTTTAGTACTTGTAGGTGGTATGTAAAGCATAAGGTAGTCTTGAAAAGATTATAGGAAAAGATCAATTTGTATGGTAGTCTTGAAAGATCACTTTCTAAGGTCCCACACTGGAAGAGATTCAGTTATCCTCGAAGAGTGTCAGTCAATCTGGAAGAGATTTAGACATTCTTGAAGAGATTCAGCTATTCTTGACAATATCAATGAAAAACACCACCATTGAAGTCGCTAACACTGTTCATCTATGCTACTTGTATCAGATGCATCATCACTGAACGCAGAAAACGATTCATCTATGTATCATCTATATAAATTGGAGATGGCATTGGTGGGCAAGGGTGGCGCTCAGAGCTACAACTGGATACGCTCGCTGTATCGTCCTCATAGGTGCTGTATCTCTTCCATCCTACCTTTGTGTTAGGTCCTTATTGCGCCTAGCTTCACCAATATCATGACCCTTATGTCCTTTAAACAATAAGGTCTGAATTTCACCGACAGAGCATGGTCTTTCAACACCACGTCAAACAGGTGTTTGGGAGCCAGAGGTGCGTACGCCACCCATAGTTGCTCACTCAGTACTAATCCAGCCAGCAGTCGAAGGGCATTCTGGGAATTTTTTCCAAGATGGCTGCCTCTCACTGGAGATCCTAGGAGTCCATTTCGTACACAACCTACCGCGCGCACATTTTGAATGGGTACCAAATTTTCAAAAGGTTTTTTCTTGGTTGGCCCAGTTTCCAACCGACCAAGTTTTCTCGTTTGGTGCAGCACAGTGGTTAATAATTGCCCACTTACTATTTTAACACCAAAACATGGCATCTCCATGTACACCAGTCTGGATAAATCTTATTGCATTGTTATTTGAATGCACTTTTCTTGTTTGTGAATTAACTAATAGGTAGTAAATTAACAGGCACAGTATATATTAACAGGCATAGAAATTACTGAATATATTACAAAGAAGGTGTACCATCATATTCTAACAGGGTTTGCAGGTTTGCAAATTGGCACATAAAGGCTCGCAATTAGCTGATGACTGAACAGCATAGGGCCCAAAGGCAGCTGATCAGGAAACAACACAACAATAATACCTCCCCACAGATCCTAGCCACTGCCATATAAAGTGGCTTATGCAGAGTGATAGGAATTAGAGTCTGTACACCTCTAGGAGAAAAATCTTTTGTCCATGATCTTCACAAGCATTGCCTTGCAATAAACACAGGACTTTGCCTACAACATGACACTTGGCTCACAGTGTCCTCACTCATCAATTAGCACCCTGTAATAAGAATAAATATTTTGAATAATACTGTGTTTCATTGCCCATCTGTCCTGTTTGTAGCAATAATACAAAAATATATAATAAGATTCTATGTGAAATATTAGTGAAATTTTTTTTAAAATGCATGAATAAATACATAGTTTTAAATTTTTTTAGCAAAATATTTTCTTTCAAAATTTAACCAAATGTATTGCTCCATTGCGGCATATAATGTACAGGGATACCTCGGTTTAAGAGTTAAATCCGTTCCTGGAGACAGCTCGTAAAGCGAAGCTAATTTCCCCATAAGAAATAATGGGAAATGAATTAATCCGTTCCTGACTACCCAAAAACTTCACTTCAAACTAAATTTTATACCTAATTCATCCAAATCTACACTACAAAACTATGTTCAAGTTATTACTTACCCTTGCTGATGACTGCTATTGGCATATGGAAGATGGTGAGGAGGAAGGAGGAGGAGAGGTGTTGCTGTTTGGAAGGGAAGTCCCCTTCCATTATAACATATAGTCACTGGGCACGAGGCACTGGTAAACTGAGGTGTGATCGCCATGCCACCACGCGCTAGGTCAGCCCGTATGCATATCAACAAACTCGTAACCCGATGCAATGCTTGTATCCTGATGCAAATTTTACGACCAAATCGGGCTCATAACCTGAAAAACTTGTAAACAGGGACACTCGCAACCCGGGGTTCCACTGTATGTTCCTATTATAACTAATTATTGTAAATATATATAATATATTAAATGGGTTACCCAGGTATGCCCCCCCCCCCTCTCTCTCTCTCTCTATATATATATATATATATATATATATATATATATATATATATATATATATATATATATATATATATATATATATATATATATAAATATATATATATATATATATATATATATATATATATTTATATATGACATTTTCAAATAAAGTTAGAGAAATATACACACATACCAAAAGAATAGGGGTGGTAGAAGAAGAAAATATGGGTTCGAGTCACTTCTGGGGAGTGAGTTTTCATTCGCATATAGTCCTGGGGACCATTCAGGCTTGTTCGCATATATATATATATATATATATTTACATACATTTAATATATGTAAATATATATAATATATTAAATGGGTTACCCAGGTATGCCCTCCCCTCCTCTCTCTCTCTCTCTCTCTCTCTCTCTCTCTCTCTCTCTCTATATATATATATATATATATATATATATATATATAACTGAAAACTCACACCCCAGAAGTGACTCGAACCCATACTTCCAGAAGCAACGCAACTGGTATGTACAAGACGCCTTAATCCACTTGACCATCACGACCGGACATAATGAGGTGATAGCCGAGGCTATTTGAACCACCCCACCGCCGGCACTCGGATAGTTATCTTGGGCATAGCATTTTACCAAATCACCTCATTCTTTGGGGCACACGTGAGGAACACAAATGCGAACAAGCCTGAATGGTCCCCAGGACAATATGCAACTGAAAACTCACACCCCAGAAGTGACTCGAACCCATACTCCCAGAAGCAACGCAACTGGTATGTACAAGACGCCTTAATCCACTTGACCATCACGACCGGACATAATGAGGTGATAGCCGAGGCTATTTGAACCACCCCACCGCCGGCACTCGGATAGTTATCTTGGGCATAGCATTTTACCAAATCACCTCATTCTTTGGGGCACACGTGAGGAACACAAATGCGAACAAGCCTGAATGGTCCCCAGGACAATATGCAACTGAAAACTCACACCCCAGAAGTGACTCGAACCCATACTCCCAGAAGCAACGCAACTGGTATGTACAAGACGCCTTAATCCACTTAACCATCACGACCGGACATAATGAGGTGATAGCCGAGGCTATTTGAACCACCCCACCGCCGGCACTCGGATAGTTATCTTGGGCATAGCATTTTACCAAATCACCTCATTCTTTGGGGCACACGTGAGGAACACAAATGCGAACAAGCCTGAATGGTCCCCAGGACAATAAATGAGAGAATGAGGTGATTTGGCACACGTGATAGCCGAGGCTATCACGTGTGCCCCAAAGAATGAGGTGATTTGGTGAAATGCTATGCCCAAGATTACCATCCGAGTTGCCGTCGAGGAAGTGGCTCAAATAGCCTCGGCTATCACTTCCTTTTGACGGCCGTGATGGTCAAGTGGATTAAGGCGCCCTGTAGTTACCAGTTGCGTTGCTCCTGGGAGTATGGGTTCGAGTCACTTCTGGGGTGTGAGTTTTCATTCGCATATAGTCCTGGGGACCATTCAGGCTTGTTCGCATTTGTGTTCCTCCCGTGTGGCCCAAAGAATGAGGTGATTTGGTGAAATGCTAT